TGCCCAACCAATAACTTGTCCTGGAGTTCTACAAGCCTCCCAAACTGCTTTAAAACTGAATGGAATCTTCCATCGAAGCTGATCCTCCCCACCAATAATTCTGTGATTATAAAAAACTTGTCTCAGCTCTTGATTAGTGTTTAACAGTTGCTCGTCATCCCAATGACCATCCGTAATGAATTCCTACAACAGACATTGTTTGTTTCTGCTAAGAAACCCCAATAATCTGTGGCTAAAAGATCACCTAAGCATTTACCATCACACCATGGATCCAAAAAAGCTTTAATATTGTGACCATTCCCTATACTATATCTACAATTCTCTTTAACCACATCACGAACTGCTAAAATGCTTTTCCATATAAAAGAATCAGGATCCTTTGAATAACATTACAAAAAGATGAATTTTTCAAATATTTTTTCTGGAACTAAGCCACCCAAATTCTATCTTTAGACAATAGGAAATCCCATGTAATGCTGCACTTTGAAGCTTTATCAATATCAACCAGCCGTCTCAGCCCCAAACCTCCTTCCTCCTTAGGAGCAGCCAATTTATTCCATCTTAAACCATGCATCTTCTTCTTATCTTCCACATGGCCCCATATATAATTCCTCATTCGTCTCTCAATCAGATTAATACACCGAAGCTCTAGACAATTCCACTCTGCCAGCCATAGAAAGGTGAAGACCATTCCACCTAGTTGTAAGAGAAATCACTTTATCAATCAAGGCATTACAGTCTCTGGTACGCAACATTTTGTCAGAAATAGGCACCCCAAGGTATGTAAATGGAAATTTTCCAACTTTACAACCAAGACTTCTCACAATTCCAGCCCTTTTTCTAACAGAATCAGTTAGGAACACCTCAGATTTCTCCTTACTAATAGCTAGACCTGTAGTATTTTCAAACAAAATCAAAGCTTTTTTCAAAGTAAGGACAGTAGCCATATTAGCTCTCACCACCATCAACAAATCATCAGCAAAAAACTGATGAGTAATAGGTGTACCAGCTTGTATTGCAGCCTGAGTTGGAATAATCTTACCACACTGCACCTCTGCTGCAATCATTCCAGAAAAATACTCCGTAACTAAAGTAAAAAGCAAGGGAGATAGAGGGTAACCCTGTCTTAGTCCTCGCTCTGGTTGAAAAAACCCATAAGGAGAGCCATTAACAATAATTGAAAACCATACTGAAGAGATACACCTATAAATCCAATTGGTCCATTTAGAACCAAAGCCAAGCAGTTCCATGATTTTCAGCAGAAATGACCACTGAACCGTATCATATGCCTTCCTCAAATCAATCTTCCAAGCCAACTTAGGTTTAGCAAATTTTGATCCAAAACCTTTCAAGAGTTCATGAGCCATAATAATGTTATCCTGAATTCTTCTTCCCTGAACAAAAGCTGTCTGTTCTTTACCAACAATCCTACCCAACACACTTGCTAATCTATTGGAAAAAATCTTTGCAATAACCTTATAGAATGTGTTACATAATGAAATTGGACGATAATCTCCAACCTTTAGAACCTCTGATTTCTTTTGAATCAATGTAATAAAGGTACTATTAATACCTCTACCCATATCAGTGTGATCAAAGAAAAATATAATGGCATCAGTAAATTGCTCACCCACAATATTCCAGAATTTTTGAAAAAATCTTGCAGTGAAACCATCTAGTCTAGGTGCACGATCAAGCCCCATTGAAAAAACAATATTTTTCACTTCCTCTCTGGATATAGGAGCTTCTAAACCCTCACCTTCCTCTGTAGTCAAAGTTTTCTTGATAAACTTAACATCAGGATTACACTGCACAGGATGGACATTTGCATAAGCAGACTTATAATACTCTACAAACTTATCTTTGATTCTGTTAGCATCAGTAATCACCTCACCCTCATCATGTAACACCAAGATATTATTATTGGATCTATGCTGTTTAATTTTCTGAAAAAAAATACTTAGAACATCTGTCTTGATCCTTTGTCCATTGAACTCTTGACTTCTGAGCTAATAAAACAGCCTCATTTGAGATAGCAGTCTCTAAATTCATCCTACTATCCTTCTCCAACTCAATCAGATCATCATTTAGAGGGTCATTATTCAATGACTGTTGAATCACAGCAAGAGATTTCCTGCTTATACACTGACCCAAATTTATCCTTGTTTCACTTCTTCATAGCTTATTTCACCAGTTTTAACTTATACAAGAACTTCTTAATTGGATCACAAGTAGTCCTCACTTTCCTTACAAGCCATTATTAATGAAGGGAAAAGTAGACATAAATACTGAAAGTTTACATGCCCAAGGCAAGCATGCCATAAACTTAAAGTCTGAAAGTTTGCTAACTGCTATTGCCTTGATAGCGGGAGGTTATCTTGGGATGTGCGATTCCGGCGATCTTTTTAGGATTGGGAGTTGGATGATGTCACTGGCTTGTTGGCTCTCTTGTACAGACAGGAGGTGGAGGGCACTGGTGTTGACTCCCTGTTTTGGGTGCCCTCTTCTCAGGGGATGTTCCAGGTCCGGTCTTTTTTTGTGTGCCTTTCTGGTTTTCATGGCGCTTCCTTCCCGTGGAAGACGGTGTGGTTGTCCAAGGCGCCTCTTAGGGTGGCCTTTTTTGTGGGGACTGCAACTTGGAGCAAGATTTTGACTTTGGATAACTTGAGGAAGCGAAGACATATTATTGTTAATCAGTGTTGTCTTTGTCAGTTGAATGGTGAGTCAGTGGATCACCTGTTGTTACATTGTCCTGTGGCTCATGATTGTTGGAGTCTCATTTTTGATTTGTTTGGTATTCATTGGGTTATGCCTCGGACATCTCGGGAATTGCTGGATATTTGGAGGGGCCAATGGGTGGGGGCTCAGGCGTGAGTCTTCTGGAGGGTAACCCCCTTTTGTGTTTGGTGGAGCATTTGGAAAGAGTGGAATAGAAGATCTTTTGATGGGAAGGAGTCCTCCATTGGGGTGTTGAAATTCTCTATTATTTGTACTCTTTTTTGTTGGGGTTGGGGGAGAGATTTTTGCTCCATTGAGGATATTGTGGACTTTTTGGGCTCCTTGAGATCATAGTTTCAGTTTTTTGTATAGCTTGGGACGCGTTCCCCTTTTGAACACCTTCTAATACATTTTACTTATCAAAAAAATAAATCATAAGAGGAAGAACAGTGGCTTGAAGGCTTGAAGCAAGTGGAGGAGGTGTCGTTGGAGGATCCCTAAAGTAGTAGAGGCCATCGTTCTCATATCCCCGGCCAAAAATCCTCTTCGAGCACAGGTCCTCTAAAACGCAATAATGAGGAAAGAAAATCACTGCACAGTTTAGTGATTTGGCAAGTTTGCTAATAGATAGAAGATTAAATGCAAAGTTAGGAACATAAAGAATAGATGGCAAAATAATATCAGGGGATAGATGAACATCTGCTTTGCTACGAATAATGGTGGTTGACCAATCGGCTAGACTAACAACCTGATTAACAGGGGTAACTGGCGTAGAAAATAATGACATCTCACTAGTCATGTGATCATTGGCTCCGAAATCTTGAAACCAAGAAGGTTTTCCCCTTTTAACATGATAAGCAGAACGAGTACCTGTAGCTATAGTAGTTGTGGGAGTAGAAGAGCCGGCCCTGGTAGATAAGGCTCCGAACTGCTCCTGAAGATGACCAATCTGGGACTGTAAGAGTTTGAAGTTCTGAAAAGATGGTTTGGGAGGAGTTGAAGCAAGAGGGACAACAATAAGTGGAGTAGCATACCCACAAATAGTATCGGCTACTGCAGCAGTGCGGCCACAGCCTGAAGATAAAATGTCCTTTTGGCTACTAGAATCACTCATAGTACCAAAATAAGGCTGGTCCATACGTCGAAGAGGGAGGAAAGAGAAAAACAAGGCCGAAAAAATTGGCGCTTTCCTCCAAATATGCTGCCAAATAAACACCGGCAGCCCACAAAGAAAAAAAACACCAGAAGGACCCTTAGATCATAATAAACCCTAAGGGAATTCTTCTAAAAAAGGAATCAAAAATAGAGAGTTACCCGAGGGGTTCGGCGCAAGGGCTGGGAGGAGATGGAGGTGCGCCTGAGGTGAGGGAAAATGGAGAGAGGGAGAGAGAAGGTGGCCACATTAGGGAGGAAGATGGGGAGGCGAAGATTTTTGTTTTGCTCTGATACCAAAAAGAAGAAGTTTTGGGTTTTGACTTACTCAAACCAAGAGCCAAGATCTATATTTATATACAAGAATAGGGTACAAAGAAATGAAACCGAATCAAAGAAAGACAGAAAATATGTCAAAATCTACGAGATCCCATGATTACGGGGATTTTATCTACGGGATTCCATGATTACGGGGATCTTATCTACGTGATCCCATGATTATAGGGATCTTACATAAAACACCTAATAAAAGGCTAAAAACAGCGAATAAAAAAAAAATAATAATAATAATAATAAAGATATTTCAACATAAATCAAATCATAGCATATTCTAAAGCATATTTTATGGCATATTCTATAGCATAATCAAATCTCTGCTAATATGGTAAGTCATTCCATAAATCGTGGCTACCATATATGCTAACATAAACAAACGACTCTTGATTTTGCCACTCATTGCAACCTAATGTTTGAATAGGAACTTCAAATTAGCCAACATATGACACATAATCCTAAGGAGCACCAATAGCCATGTTTGCTACCATAGTTTAGTATATTTTAATTTTCTAGCTTAGCTATACTTAACTTCTTTGTGCAGACTATATCTTGTGAGGAACTGTATCAATGCACTCCCTCCTCCTGTCATAGTCTTGAATCCTAATTAGATGATTGTTGAGCAATTATTGAACTGAAAGTCTACATTAACTTTTTTTGGTTTTTCCAGGCTATTTCTAATTTGCCAACTTCTCATAAATGTGCCTTACAGTGTAACTGTGGTTATTGAATATGCTTTGACACATAAAACAAAATGCTGATTGACAAACTAACCCATAAAATCTTTTATAATGTAGTCAAGTTCGCGAATCAGAACGTTACAATTGGGCTGCCACCAGAGGCGTAAATGAAGAAATGTTATTGGTGAATTTGCCAGAAGACCTTCAGAGAGAAATACGACGTCATCTCTTCAAATTTGTCAAGAAAGTGAGCTTTCACCCATTTTATTATCATAGTAGTGCTAGTTGTTGTTCATGTTTCATGTTTATTGATTGGGATCAATTGATGTTGTGCTTTCTTATCCTTTAGGCTCCAGATTCTCTCGGTTAAATAGAATTTCCCTAGATAAGCCAGTAAAAGTCCATCTCACTCATATATATCCATTCCCTGTGGGTGCACAAAATTTTTAAACCCTATGGTACTGTGGCATCAAAAAGCTTAAAAAGGACTACTAAGAAATTATTCCATGTCAATAGGATGGAAGACACGTCACATATCAATACCCATTTCATGCAGGCTTTTCGCTAATTTTAGAATTTGCATGAAAGTATACTTTTCTTTTAATTTTTTATTCCTTTGGATGATGGCTTCCATATTCTTTAATGGGTTCTGTTTTTTGGACTGCTACCTGCAAATACTATGTTAATCACAATGGACGCATTCAAACTTCATAGCACTTGAGACCATGCCGTGGAAGTAATATTATAATCAATACAAATGTTACATAGATCATAGTGTAATCTTCTTTTTATGAATATCCGTGTTTTCTGAGGACTTGGGAATTTATAAATTTGCAGGTCCGAATTTTTGCCATGATGGATGAACCTATTTTAGATGCCATTTGCGAGAGATTAAGACAAAAAACCTATATCAAAGGAAGCAAAATTTTATACCCTGGTGGTCTCATCGAGAAAATGGTTTTCATTGTCCGGGGCAAAATGGAGAGCATTGGAGAAGATGGAACCATTCCCTTGTTTGAAGGAGATGTTTGTGGTGAAGAGCTTCTTAGATGGTTCCTTGAGTACTCTTCCGTGTATAAAGGTAGAAGTGGTGATTCTTGAATTTTCAATATGTTTTCTTGCTGGCATGTGTACTAACTACCTATTTAGATGTTTCTGTCTATACATATATTTGTCCTGAATTCTAGTCTATATATTGTGTAGGCTTACCACATTCCATCAAATTATAATTTTTTGTTCTCTTCCTTGGCAAAGTATTTAGTTGAAAAGTTCTTTTCTGCGGAGGGGAGGGGTTTTACATCTGTGCCTGTATGCATACTTGATACATATAGAGTTCTTATCCAAGTGTGATGCATGATAGAGCCCATCTGCATTGACTAATCTGTTGTTCTATGGTTGTCCCTTCTGGTTTGGTTTAAAAAAATCACTTGCCTGTTCTCCAATCACTATTACCACAATGTCCTTCTCTTCTTTCGGATCACAGAGTCGAGTGTTCTTCTAGTAGCCTTCCGTCTTGTTCTGATCTCTCTCTCTCTGTGCGTGTGCGCGCGCGCGCATGTGAGACACAGAGAGAGAGAGAGAGATTAATTCCTAATTCTTCTTGTCTCCACTTAACAGTAACCTAATTCTCCCTTTTTGGCAGTAGGGTTTGGATTAACCCCAGATACATCTTATTTAAATTTATACTTCCATGATTTCATCACATTCAGGTTTAGGCTATCCTTATTCCCCTTCAGCTTATTAGGTTATTTCACTAAATCACTAGTAGGAAGCACTCTATGAAGAAGCAGAATTAAACTTCACTTCTATAGATTTCACTCAACAAAAAAAATTATTTCATTCTCACTTATTGCTACAAATGCAGTGAAGGACTTGTATTTATAGGCACCAAAGAGAACTCTAGAAGAACCTTCGAATTTTAAATTCACAAGTTACAAGATAATTTAGAGTTAGCATTATCTAGATTTAGCAACAACTTCAAGACTTTCCAGCAATCCTCGCATAAACCATAACTGCTTTTTTATTCCCAACCTTAAAAGTTTTCTTTTGAAAATTTGTACATCGAGAGTCTTCGTGAAAACTGTCAATTGATTTTCTTCCCTGCAATATTCAACACAAAAAATTCCTTCACTCCTAAAATTGTGAAATGATAATGGGTACCGATGTGTTTCGTCCTTCCATGTAGAACTATATCCTTTTGAGAAAGAGATGGTTATTTTGATGTCATAAAATAATGTCCTGCGTCCTTTATTGTGCTTGAGACTTGCCAAAAGTAGTCAAATGATTTGACACCCTGCAGATGAGGCAGTCAGCTTCTCTTGTAGAAAGAGCTATGATTAGTTATTTCTTCAAACTCGATGAAATTGCACAGCTTTCAACATTAAAAACATTTCCAGAAATACTTTTACTATCACTGATGCTTCCTGCCTAGTCACAATCGGTGTAGCCAACAAGTTTCAACTGGAACATTTGCTTGGTAAAAGATGGGTAATCAATGGTTCCTTTGATATGTCTCAAAATCCTTTTGGCAGCCTCCCAATGGTCTTGAATATGGTTTATCACTGAACCTGCTAATTAATCTCACTGTAAACATGATAGCCAATCTAATAGTTGTAAATTCATTGAATTCCCAAGCAAGCTTTGTCTTGTACACCCATTTGACTCCAATGAGATTCTTGTTTGATGGTAAGGTTAGCATTGGTACCAGAGTCTTGCTTGATTCATTCCCTTTTCTTGCACACTCTGACTTGTGAAATATGTAGGTGGTTTCATTCTTCAGGATTTGATTTACTTGTGATTTTCTTTTCGTACAAGGGCTGCCAAGAATTAGTGTGTTTATGTGTGTAATATTTTCGAAAAAAATGCTTTTGCAGATGAAAGAAACATAAGGATTCCAAGACACAAATTACTTAGTAATAGGATGGTAAGATGCTTAACAAATGTAGAAGCATTTACTCTCCAAGCTGCGGATCTTGAAGATGTTACCAGTCTTTTTGCAAGATTCTTGAGGATTCCACGTGTTCAAGGAGCTATGAGGTTATTCCTATTCCACTCAAATAAAACTTCTTAAATTGATGAGGGAATTTGACTGTGTTTGTCATTGATTAAATGCAAAAAGAAGTCTCCATGGTAAAATCCTACTTTGAAAAGCCTACAAACTGTGAGGGTTGCTATAAACCTCTAACATGCTACATATATTGCAAAACATGTTGAAAATCTTAAATTAATATTTGTTCTTGTAGTTCTTTGTGAAGAAATAAAAAGACAATAAAAATTCATTGCAGATGGATTTGAAACAAGCTTGAAAGTATACCTAACTAAGTATTTTTTGTTCCCTTAGATGGTGGCTTGCTGAAAACCAGGGTCCTTGATCTAGGTTGTGTGATGTATATGCTAGATCTATGTGAATTACTATTAGATTCGATTTGGGTTGGATTAAAATGGAGTTTTGAACCGGGCTCATGTTTGAGCTATCGTGAGGTTTTACATCATGGAAGCGGCCATTTTGTGATGGATATTGGATGAAAAGAGAAAACAAAAAATTGTGTAATTGCTTGCCTCTAATTGAGTGCAGACACTTGTATTTATATTTACCAATTATGGTTATGTTATGAAAAAAAAGGATCGAATAGGAATTTATGAGAACAAAGAGAAAATTAATGACAAAAAAAAACAAAAAATGGCACACACAAACGAGACAAGGATTTATGTGGTTCGGCAATGCCTATGTTCACGGGGAAAAGACAGAACAATATTTCACTATGGAAATAAAGAGATACAAGGTAAAGTGGCTCACACCCAAAACCCAATTACACCCAAATTAACTCTCTCACTTACTAACAGATATTAGAAACTCACTTAATTGATTTGGGATGCATTACACCATGAGGCACAAGGCTATTTATAGCCAAAGAAATCAACCAAGGCTTGCTGATCACGCATGGATGGCTAGCACCACAGCTTGCTAATCACGAATACTTGTTGATCACATAAACTTGAAGCCCAAGATGATGATGTAATGGGTGATGAAAGTGTTTAGCTGCCCAGTTGTTTGCTAAGTTGGCAATTTGATTTGAGCCCCAATATTCTAACAAATCTCCACCTTGGCAAAAAACATTCCGAATGAGCCACTGTATCTCTGCCAAACAACCTGTCTTCTCCACGAAACAAATTAATTAAGAATTTTAGTTAAGTTTGAGTCATCCTCAAACTTAATCCTCGAGCTCTCATTCTTCAACCCATGCATGTCTTGCGCAACCACAAGCATACCTCCAGTATTTCTGTCAAACTCTAAATGCTTATCAAAGGCACCCTCAGAAATTCCAAGTTTGACATCTCCTTCAGCAACCTTCTCCAACCGCCCATAAACCACCGGCTGGTAATGAAAAGTCATCTTCTCACCCTTGTGGAGAATAAGACGTCCTTGACTTTTCCTCTCATCTCTATTGTGACCAACTACTTGCCTCCCACACATCTTAATGGCACTTGAATGGACTATCTCATTGCCACCAAGATTATTGCAAGTCAATATCACACCTGTCCTCATAGGTCTGCCTACCTCCTTGTAAGGACTGCTGCAATTTTGGTTGCCATCTAAAAACGGATTTCATTCTCCCACCACGTTGTGTAGTCCTCTCACAACCCTTTTGAGAACTAGTATCGTAACTCCTCTTTCTAACTCTTCTTTTGCAAAGACCCGAACGCAGATTTCTACTAACTATATAGAAGCTCCACCTATTATTGTATTCCCTTGGAGAAGATACAAATTTTTCACCTTGGTGCCCTATAGCACCACAAGAGAATCCATCACGACCATCATTACTCCACCTTCTGTTATAACCTTGTAAACTTTAGAGTCTAGCACACCTACTGAAATAAGATTCATCTTCAAATCCGGTACATGTCGCACATCTGACAATGTTCTCACTAACCCATTGTGTGTCTTGATCTTGACTGTTCCAATTCCCAAAATTTTGAAAGCTTTCCCGTTCGCCGTCAAAATCGAACCACCTTTCACCTCTTTATAGGAAGAGAAACAATCCCTACTGAGACATATATGAATGAAACAACCAGAATCAAGAATCCAACTGTCATTAATTGACATTCCTGAACACAAAGTTGTCATGAGAACATATTCGTCACTTTCCAAATCACTCGTTTTAGCAGTTGCCACAGAAGCTGCTTCTTAAACCTTCTCTTTGCCATTTGCCTTTAGTTTGGGACAGTGCTTGATGATATGCCCTATCTCGTGACAGTAGTAACATTCCACATTTTTATGAGATCTAGATTTGCCCCTACTACCAGAACTCTTTGTCTCACTTTTGCCTCTTACAAATAGACCATTGGCCTTTTCATCTCCAATATTCCCAGACACCTTTTTCCTCAACTCCTGAGATTTCAATGAGGATTTAATATCCTCCATACTAATAGTGTCTTTTCCATAGAGCAATGTAGTAACAAAATGCTCATAGGAAGGAGGCAAAGAACATAATAAAATAAGGGCTTGATCCTCGTCATCAATTTTAATATTAGTATTTTTCAAATCCATAATAATAGAATTGAAATTATCAATATGCTCCTTAAGAGGCATACCTTCCTTCATATGAAGGGTGTAGAGTCTCTGTTTCAGGTAGAGTCTGTTGGTGAGAGACTTCGTCATATACAGACTCTCTAATTTTAGCCATAACTTTGCCGCCGTGTCTTTATCAATGACTTCACGCAACACCTCATTAACAAAATTCAAAATAATCGCACTGCATGCCTTTTCATCGACCTCATCCTTGTCCTCATTGGACATAGTTGTTGGCAACTTGTCCTTCCCGAACAACACCTTCTTTAGACCTTGCTGAGTCAGCAGGGCCTGCATCTTAATGTGCCAAAGACTGAAACTAATCTTACCATTAAATTTCTCAATCTCGTATCTGGTCGACATCTCAAAAAAACTCCAAAAAAAAAATTACTCGGTGAATAGTACCGTATTTGTGAACAATATCCGAATAGAATCTATGAACAGTACCGTAAGTGTGAACAGTATCCGTACATAATATACGCGAACCCAAGCTCTGATACCAGTTTGTTATGAAAAAAAAGGATCAAATAGGAATTTATGAGAACAAAGAGAAAATTAATGACCAAAGAAAAAATAGCACTCACAAACGAGACAAGGATTTACGTGGTTCGGTATTGCCTACGTCCACGGGGAGAAGACAGAACAATATTTTACTATGGAAATAAAGAAATATAAGGCAAAGTGGCTCACACGCAAAACCCAATTACACCCAAATTAACTCTCTCACTTACTAACTGATATTAGAAACTCACTCAATTGATTTGGGATGCATTACACCATGAGGAACAAGGCTATTTATAGCCAAAGAAATCAACCAAGGCTTGCTGATCACACATGGATGGCTGGCACCACAGGTTGCTGATCACGAATACTTGCTGATCACATAAACTTGAAGCCCAAGATGATGATGTAATGGGTGATGAAAGTGTTTAGCTGCCAAGCTGCTTGCTGAGTTGGCAATTTGATTTGAGCCACAATATTCTAACAAGTTACAATAAAGGAATAAAATAAAGTCAAATAAATTAAAATCCCAAATTAACCGCGATCCACTAATCACTGGACCAGGATTTATGGGGATAAAATAAAATGTGGATCCCAACACTCCCCCTCAAGTTAGAGCAAAGATGTCAATCAAACCCAGCTTGCCAATTAAGGAATAAAGTAGAGATGGCCCCACTGACTTAGTAAACACATATGTTGTTTGATCAGATGCACGAACAAACACCTAAACAATAGCACCAATTCGAACTTTCTCTCGAATGAAGTGAATATCAACTTCAATGTGTTTAGACCTCATATGGACAACAGAATGGAAGCAAGCATGACAACAGACTTATTATTACAAAACAATTTAGAAGAATCTTCCACAACGAAGCCCAACTCAGGAAGAAGAGATCGAAACATAGAAGTTCACACGTGTCCAGTGCCATAGCATTGAGCCTCAACAGATGACCTAGACACTACTGCTTGCTTCTTACTTTGCCATGACATAAGATGACTGCCATAGAATGTACAAAATCCAGAAGTAGAATGCCTGTTCGTTTTGGATCCTGCATAATCTAGATCTGTAAAACATGACACTCTAGATTGACTACCTGATTTATAAAATAAGCCAAGGCCAGGACACGTCTTGAGATATCTCAAGATATGGTAGACTGCATCCAAATGTGACAAATGCGGAGCATGCATAAACTGACTTACAACACTAACTGCAAAAGTCAAATATGGCCTGGTGACGACCAACTAAACGTTGATACACAGAGGGATCAAGAAGCAAGTCATCACATTTAGCGAAAAGATTAAGATTCAGATCTATAGGAGTAGAGGCAAGTCTTAACCCTACCATTCATGTGTCTCCGAACAAAGCACGAATGATCAGTGTGACACTATATAAAGTTCATTACCCAAATACTTCCCCTTAGCCCGAAAACCTAGTGGCGGATCCATATAGATGGTCTCCTATAAATTTCCATGAAGAAAAGCATTTTTGACATCGGATAGGCCAGGAATGAGAAGATGCCATTGACACTAGAAGACAAACAGTTGTTAACTTAGCAACTAGAGCAAAGGTCGTATTAAAGTCCTGCCCCGGAATCTGAGTAAATCCTTTAGCAACCAAGCAAGCCTTGTACCGATTAATAGATCCATCAGTCAAGTATTTCACAGTAAATACCCACTTACTCCCCACTATCAATACCCACTTACGCCCTGCTGTTCCACTTTCATTGCCTCAACCTATTCAGGATAACGAAGTGCCTCTGAAACGGATCAAGGTATGGGAGAAGAATCGAGCTTTCCCAAAAAGGCTGTATAAGAATTTGAAAGAGCATGATAAGACACATACTTGGTGTTGAAAAGGAAAGATTCGGTAGTAATACCACCAAATAGTATTAGCTGTAAATATAATAATATGGAGGATATTTGCTGTAAATAGAATATTGGTCAATGCTGTAAATTAAAAAATTAT